GCACTTTGTTAGGCATCTAGCTTACTTCTGCTTGATACTAAAGGAATGTTATCTTTTTTCAAAAGGAAATAAAGACATGCAGATGGATTCTGATTTTTATATAGTTATTCATTTGCCTGTGTTGTCTTTCAAGCTGGTCAGAACAGTTTGAGGCGTTTTTTATTTTTAAGTTAATAAATCATATAGTAAGTTTTATCTTGTATTGACGAATAGAATAACAAAGTTGTGGCTTTTCACTGTTTAAAAAAAAAGTCTATTGAAAGACAAGTTTTACAAACACTTTGGTAAGCAGCTGCTGCCACAGGTTTCCATGAGAAGAGTAGAGAGAGTTTCATCTGTCCAGGTGGGCATTCTGGTCTTCCAAAACTGAAATTTTTTGATACGGAGCTAGGAGGAAAAGTTGGTAAGGCTCCAGAATTAATTCCAGTTCTCCAAATAAATTCTTTCACAGCTTTTCATTTTAATTTTATGCTAATTGTCTTCCAGTAAGTGTCATTGGAATTACTATAATTATCTATAGAGAAGTCTTGTGTCTTTCCTGCTTCCTACAAGTCTCAGTACATTTGGTGCAACTTTGCTGAATGAGGCTTGAAAGTTCAAGTGTTCTGGAAACTCAGTTTACTTTGTTGTAATTTGTTCAATAATTTTTTTAACATTTTGTTCTGACAGGTTTTTAAACATATCTGCAATCTTTGTGTGGGAAAAGAAGGATATTTTATTTGCTCTGTAAAGTGGAACATAATTTGATTGTTAATGGGTATTAGCATAGGTCAAGAGAAACTTTTATGTTAGTGATACTGAATGAAATTTTACAGAATATAATACAGTTTTCCTGTGTTGTGTGTATCTTTAGTAGTGATATGCTGGATAAAGGACAATGCAAAATAACAAACTGATAAAACTGGAGACTCAGGACAGGTATGGTAATTAAAATACTAGGGTTTAGTCATGTTCAAAAATTGCTTAGTTGTAATGGATATTTGATCTTCCTTTGGGTGTTTGATTAATACAGATTTTCATATTGAGTTCCTTGTGCTTGAGTTACTATAGTAATGTTGTAAAAATCACATACTTGATCAAGAAACCATTCTCTCCCCTTCATATTTCAAAAACTTAGGAATCTTGAGGTAAAATAATACCTGGAATTAAAAAGCATGTATGGTCTGTGCAGTGGTTAGTAAAAATTGATAAAAAAGTGGCTGATTATCTCTCACTTTCTGAGGTTAAACTGCCATACACTTGGTTACCAAAAATATTGGTTTCACTTTTCCCTGTAACCAGTTGCCATAGCTGCCACAGTGATATGTAACTGAAAGTGGGAGAAGTCATGAGCCAAAGAATGCAGCTGTGAGATTTGCTAATATGTTGAAAGCACATCTCTTACACTGACAAAATTCATTTTATGCATTTCTGTAAAAGGTGAGGAAGCAAGGACTGATAACACACTCAGCTCTCTGAATGCACTGACCAGCGCATTAAGGGTGTCATCCTTTACAGGGTGGATTATCCATCCAATTTCTCCATGTGAGGAGACTGTAGGTGCTATTTCAAAGGTTCGTTTCCAAAGGGACCTTTGCCTCTTTAAAGACAAGCAGGGAATTGTACGATATCCCCATTTCTAGTGCACATCAGTGTTTTACAGGTCTGGGGCTGGAGAAAGGAAGCAGTTCTGGCTCACTCAGCTGGCTGTGGCACAACTAGAACAGTTTTGAAAAATGTTTTGGTCATCTGTGTAGTTTTGGCATGTAGCTCTAAAAGAAAAAAACCAAGAATCAGTATGACTGCTAGTGCTAAACATCAAAAGGCTGCAGTGGTCATCAGCTTGAAACCTAACACTTCTTTTATGGGACCAGCTAGATAGCAGCAGTCACTGAATATCATTGGAACAGTCACCTTTTTAAGAATTTTTGAATTCCTCTATCAATGTATTATATTTTAAATAACGGCTAAGTTGAGGGAAAGTGAAGGTTTTCTCTCTCAGTAGTTGATATGCTTGACTTGCCTTTAGAAAATAATACAGAAAGCTGTTCTTTTTTGATGTGCTTATAGTGGAAAAAGTTCTAGTGTGGACAGATGCCTTAGCAAAAAAATGCCTCTGCTGAGGTGTTTTCTGTAGCTCTGGGAGGTGCCCCAAGTTCTCTAAGCTTTGCCTTTGCATTGGGGATTTATCAGTGTACTGTAGCAATTAATCCTGTCATGTGCAAGTCACATCCTGGATTGCAAAATGATGAAGTTTTTAAACAGCTCTCCCTCACCTAGCCCAAATACATGCCTTTTTTTTTTTTTTATTCTTCAGGGGTTTGTTATTACATCTTTGATGGGGAAGAAAAAAAAATAAAAGGAAGTAGAATGTATGGAAAATCCATTTAAGTGGTATGAGCTTCAAAATCAGTACACAGTCTGTGCATCTTACAGGGTTCTAGAGCAATGTTGTCTCATTTCCCCAAAATAGTTGTATTGCCCATCAAGATTTAAGGTGCTTGGGACAGTAATAGTCTGCCTGGAAGTAACAGACTAAGCAAAAGGCTGAAGAGCTGTGGTACAGGTAGTGGGTACTTAGAGTCTAACAGCAGGTGTAACATCCTGCTAGCACTAAGTGCATAGTGTAGAGGCTGTGTAGATACCTGCCACGTGAAGAGTTTCAGAGCTCTGTATTTTGACAAGAATATAGCTGCTACCCATGTGTGGTGTTTAAATGAAATACTTGGTTTAATATAGAGGAGAAGGCAGAGATGAGTAGTTTCCAACTACTTTTAAAATAGTCTCTGCACTCCAAATTACCTTCTGTCTATTTATATTTTGAAAGTTGGAAAGTGTCTTCTGTGAACATCTTTCTTGAGCTTCTTTTAACACTCTGCTATTATAGATGAATAGAATGGTTGTTACGTGAATTGGCAAATGCACATAAAGCTGTAGTTGAAGATGTTTGCTTAGTCTTGCCACATCTGATGGGCATGAAGCCAAGGCACCTTTCTTCATGTTATGATTCTCTGATCTTTCCAAGTAGTTGTGTATTTGGCTGTGCTTTTTTTTTTACTTGGTTCAGCAGGTTTTACTGTTTCCAAGAGATTTGTGAAAACAATTATTTGACTTTGATTGCATTCTATAATTAATTGTAATTATGTTGTTTGAAGTTTAGTAGGGTTACATCTGTTCTGCATTGAGTAAATCTTTGTGGAGCCTGTGTCTGCCTTCCAATGAAAGATGTACAAGAGAGTCTGAAGTCCATCCATCTGCAGATCTAAGCTTTAAATTATGCTAGTATTTTACAAGAATGCCTAACTAGCTTAATTAATTTAAAAAAATGTAATTGAGAAACCGAATGGCACAATGGCGCTGTATTTTAAAGAAAATCTGGGTTTGTTCTGTATTTACCTGGTGATGACTGAAAACTTTAGCTATAGTTAGTAGCACTGAATAGACCTCTTGCACCTTACCTTTTACACAATCCAAAAAATCCCAGGGATAGATGACCTTTGAACTCAAAGTACACTCACTTGTATGTTAGTCTGAAAAATGTTTAGTTTTCCCAGATGTTCTTAAAAACCATTGTACCCATGGCTCGCTTCTAACTTTACATTTTCTTTAGGTGTTTTGACTATTTAACTTTTATCACTTCCCTGCAAAACTGCTTTCTTCCTAATATAAAAAGGGGAAAAGTAAAAAAACATTAGTATGTATATGCAATCGTGATTCTTGTTGAAATGTCTCATGGTACTCCTCTACAAATCAGATACTTCTTGAGTTAATATTTGCTTGGTTTAGTGTAAAATTTTGAGAATATGCAATAAACCCTCTACTATCAATTGCAGAGTTTTGCTATGGGTAGTAGCAATATTCTGAGTGAAGAATTAACAGATTTCTTTTTTCATTGTTACTATCCTTTCTGTAACTGTTCTACATGCAGCTCTCTTTCCAGCTCACCCCTGCCCCCAGATGAAGGAGCCATCTCTTGCAATGCAGGGGGTTGGTAGCTTGGAACATCTTGCATTAATTTTACAAGACTGCCACCAGTTACAAATACCAGCATTTTCATATGAAGAGAAAATATTTTCGTTCTATAACTATTACCTTTTTCTAACTTCTATTTTGCTGTAATTTCAAGATACTGTAGGCACAAACAGCTGAAGATTGGTTTCAGATAAGCTTTCTTTTTAATATGTTTTCAGAAGCCACTGTCATGTTTGAGAACTTGGTCGTCTATCTAACTTGTCATTATTTGAAAAATAGGAATCAGTATTGTTGTGTGTGATGTTCATGAGGCACTATGAGTATTTGTAAAAAAGTATATGCAAAGAGGATTTACATTTGTTAAAAAGCAGCTTTGGAGAAAATATTGATTAATTTTGTTCAAATATTTTGTTAACCGTTCACATCGTCCTCATGTCTTCTGTGTTTGGTTATTTTCTTGTATATGTGTGGTAAAATCATAATTGTTCCTGTGTTTTGTATTTTTTATTTGGTTTATTTGTCAGAAATTTAATATTAATAGAGTAATACAAGGCTTTCATTGCATATTTTTATGGGAGGAGTTTGAAGAGTATTGTCTGCAAAATAAACTACTAATCTTTCTGTAGATGGCAACAAATGATCTGATGATTTTCATAGTGAAAATTGTGATAGTGATTTGGAGCTCTTTATCTGATTTCATTTTCAACAGGAAAATCATTCTATGCGAAATGCACATAAAGCTTTATTCTCAGCCCTAATCTGGGATTGCTCTTCCAATAATGATTACAAAACAATTTATTCCCTTTATCTTTATAAAGTATCGTAATATATTTGGTAGAACCTGCAGTGTCAAGCAGATGTATTTGGTTGTAATTTACTGCTCAGAAATAATTGTACTGGAAGGGATCTTACTGAAAGAAGTTAGTAACATAGTGATTGCTTCTGGTTTTACAGTATACATTCATACATATGTGATGTTTAATTTCCATAGATAAATATGTTTTATGCTTTGCTGTGAAAAATACAATATCAGTTTTTCCGTGTTTTAGATTAAATAAGATTATGAATCAGGTGGCCATTCAGCGAAAGAAGCATTTTGTTGAACGAGTGCACAGTTACTGGTTGCTTAAAAGACTGTCTAGGAATGGTGTTCCACTCTTGAGAAGGCTGCAATCCAGTTTACAGTCACAAAGAAACACACAACAGGTATGTGACATAATTTTTATTTATAAGCAGAAATTGGAAATTTTCTGGTTGAGTTAAGAATAAACTGGGAAGCCTAGCACAAAGTAACAACTTCTTTTACTCAGGACTGAATAAATTTTTTACCCTATTCTGACTTGATATTACCTGTTTTGGCATTTGGGAATTATCTAATACTTTTTAATATGTGAGATGAAAAGAAAAATTTGCAACTTTTTCTTCTGTTTTGCTTAAATGTTTGACAAAAATACTATCATCACAAATATCATAATGCCATTATTCTTTGCTAAGTGTTGTAGTTTTTTGGAACTCATTCTTCAGTGTACTGTCAGATAAAAAATAAAAGTTATTTTAAATTCATCAAAATCTGCAAAGCAGATGTCTTATTTGACACTTGAAAAAAATGTGGATTTTAACAGGGTGAGGGGTTAGACAGCTAGTTTACAGTTCTCAAATTCAGATCTGTATTGCCCACCTTGTTCAGTAATAACAAAATGCAAGTTGTTGATGAAGTTCAAAGACCTGTTTCAGCTTCTGGTTTTGATTTTGACACAGTTAAGTGGGACTGTAGACAAGCACAAGTTCGGTTGTACACTCCTATGAATAAGTTGTTGAAAAACATCAAAACAGAAACTCCAGGTGGTCTGTTTTGGTTTCAAGTTACTGGATAGCTTCAAAAATAATTAAAACGTCTGAATGGTGTGGATCTGTGCATGTAGACTTTGAAATGCTATGAAGCATCGTGGTATGGAAATTTTTACTGCATCCGAGTTACCTTTTTTAATGGAACGGAATGTGTAGGTGGGTGTGTTCTTTCCATTCTCTTGGTGCTTGACTTCCTGTAAAATAGCTTCTAAAATGTAGCAATTAATTTTATAGTAATTTACTCGTATTAAATTGAATTTTTTCCCCCTCTGAAGTGGAACTGTTATTTTTATTAGAATTGTATTTCTGTTTGCTGATTAAGTAATTGATTGATGTAGTCATAAAAAATACCATGGTCAATACTGCTTCCTAATTATTTGATCTGTCATGTTCGTGTGTGTTTATTATTTTAGCTTTTCTTGTGGAAAATCTAATTAATAATTTCCAGAATAACTGAGGTTGGAAAAGACCTCTGGAGGTCATCTGATAGAGCCCCACTGCTCAAGCAGGGTCACTTAGAATGGGTTGTCCAGCACCATGTGCAGTTGCCTTTTGAGTTATCTCCAAGGATGGAAGCTCCACAACCTCTCTGGGCAGCTGTGCCAGTGCTTGGTCACCCTTACAGTTTAGAAAGAAACCAGGAGTCTTCTGATGTCTGTTCTTACTTTGTGCCCATTGCCTCTTGTGTTGTCGCTGGGCACCACTGAATGGAGCCTGACTCTACGTTCTTGCCTCCTCCCTTCAGGTATTTATGTGTATTGGTGAGATTTCTGCCCCTGAGCCTTTTCTCCTCCAGGCTAAACAGTTTGAGCTATCTCGGCCTTTCCTCATAGCTGAGATTCTCAAATTCCATTTACATGGACTCCTTTTAGGTGAAGTCAACTTTGAATATAAGTCAATTACTTGTTTATCTTGTTTTCATTGTTTCTATATTACTACGTTTTGAAGTTTGATTAATCTTTTACTTCTGCATGAGAGGTTTTGAAGAGTGATACCTGGCAGTGTACCTAATTAGTGTTACCTAATAATAGTTGAAATTAATTTGTTCAGACAATAAACTTCTTTTTAAATGAGATTGAGTCCTTATAAAATACTAAAAGCAAGCGTGGTGCTATTGTGGCAGTATAGAACTAGACCACTGTCAGTGTCCAAAAAATTACACAAGCCAGTTTTCTTCTGGGATGGCATGATAAGGGTGCAACATTACTATACATTTAAATAATGACTATCCAAATAAATCAATTATTGTAATTGGTGTTTGATTAAAATAAAATAGGACTTTAATATGAGCATTTTAAAATTCAGTTGTCTGTTTACACTTCAGTACAAACAGTAGTTCTTTATTTTCTAATTTGAGAATGATTCTTAAATAAGGAAATAATAGATTCTAAATAAATTGGAAGCTATTTATATTGGTGTGTTGAAAAGTTTGTTGTTTTGAAAAGTAAAATCTAGTTTCAAGGTGAGCTGAGTAATAAATGAGTCTGTTGATGAAAAATGTGTAGTTAGTGCTTTTCAGTGAGTAGCAAGTGTCCTGTGTATGACATTGTGTCTTTTTCAGAGCACTTTCAATAGCTATTTATTAAAGCAGTCATAACTGCAAGGCAATGAATGTATTTTGTTACTCCCAAGTATAAACCAATTTGTAATCAAGACAATAAACAACAATGGTGTATCTGTTGTGAGAACACCTTAAAAATTTTTAGATAGGTATGATTATTTTCTTCATTTCAGTCCAGATGGGAAAATTCTTTTTATTTTATGTCAGGGGGTCAGAATATCAAGAAACCTACATAGATTTTTTCAGTTAATCAAATATAAACAGTGATGTAACAAGATTCAGGGTTTTTTAAAATTGTTATTTAAACAGAAAAGTGCTATAATAATGAACCAAAACCCTGAAAGTGGTTTAAGAATGTATGGTAGAAAGTGGTTTTGATCCCTCTCTGTTTGGTTACTAGAACAAATTTGGCAAAGGGCCTTCATGATGTAGACTTACTGCCTAATAAATGTGTTTCAGAGTTTAGTTATGGTATGGTTTTGAAGATCTAAGAGTTCTAAACCAGGCTAAATGACCTGGACTGCCTCACTATTTGCAGGAACAAGGAACTCTGTAAAGAGAATGGTTTATGCTTTCACTTCTCCCTCCACCTAGAGAAATTAAGGAATGGTATTGGAATACTCTAAGAAATTTACATCCTCATTATTTTAGTTTTTTCCCTTGAACTTTACGAATGCTTGAATGAAAATACAGCATGAAATATAAGTGTAGAAGCTTGATGCTGCTGTAGTGATGTTAGTTTAAAGCCACTTAGAGGCTTTAAAGAGAACGTGCTGATGACTTAAGGTCACACCTGCACTGAAGATTTCATTAAGAACACAAGTTGCAACCACCAAATGGTTTTGTCTGATTGCCATACAAGTCCAGCAGAGCATGCTAATAAAACAAATTGTATTGCTCAAGGTCCAGTTTCATCACTGTTGTTCTATTTTTGTTTGTATCATATTAAGTTACAGTCTCTCTAAGGAGTGAGGCTGTTCTCGCACATTCACATCCAGCATGAGGAGGGGTATGGTGCTACACTGACAGTATTCCTGCTGGTATGGAGACATTGGTAGCCTACTAATGTTGAGACAGGTTCTCAGCTGCTGCATGTTCTTTGTGTAGACTTAAGAGTGTTTTCCTCTTCCCTCAGTATTAACAAATAGGTAATATTCTAGGTAATAATTATTCTAGGTAATACTTAATACTAGGTAATATTTCTAGGTAATACTGTATTCAGCAATAACTTAGTCCACTGGAAGATCACAGACTCACAGAATGGTTTAGAGTGGAAGAGTCCTTAAAGATCATCTAGTTCTCACCCCGCTGCCATGGGCAGGGGCAGCTTCCACTAGATCAGGTTACTCAATGCCCCACCTAACCTGACCTTGAACACTGTTGGGGATGGGGCATTAACAGCTTCTCTGGGCAATCTGTTCCAGTGTCTGACCACCCTCACAGTCAAGGATTTCCTCCTAATATCTAATCTAAATTTTCCTTCTTTCAGTTTTAACTCATTGCTCCTTGAACTATCAGTACAGTTCCTGATGAAGAGTCCCTCTCCAAACGAGAATGTCTGTATAAATATTTTTTGTGTCATGAGCCAAATGAAACTTGGTGGTTGTCAGGACAGTTGTAAAAAGAAGGAAGAAGAACTTCCTTACGAGAAAGTTGATAGAAACTTTCTATGTCAGAAAGCTAAAAAATTTGAAAGGAACTCTTTGTATCTTAAGTTTTTGCTGGTTGGTTGTTGGAAACCAGTGCATCATGCTCTCTTCAACTTTCATGGACCTTTTGATCTAATTAAGGTATATGTTGTATGTCAGATAATAAATAGGTTAGGGCAAAGGAGAGTTATCTTAGCTATTAAGCTGTAAACTGTCTGCCAGCATTTCTTTGCATAGAAGTGTCAAAATATTGGAGGCTTGCTATTAATCTCCAAACCACAGTGCCATTCAGAAAGGTAGTGTATGTGTGCAGAAAAAAAAGGGAGGCAGGGTGCTTGTGATACTTTGGGTCACATCTGCAGATTGACAAGTATGTGCCTATTATCTGGAATTAAATTGATAAAACAACTGATTCCGGTAAAATATTTTTATTTGAGTGCAACTGCTCCTTGAGGTTCAGCCAAGTACTTAAGTGTCTAATAAACTACACTAAGACCTGCTGTAACATTGTTTTTTCTTGATGCATTTAAGTTTCCTGACCCACCCTAGAACTAGTACAATTTGTTGACTTAGCTTTCATCAGGCTCAGTTCCCCAATTTCTTAAATTATGCAGTTAAATATGGCAAAAGAGCAGGCTCTGAATATTTCCAAGCAAAGGGAGGACAAGCCTGCTACTTCTGGCAGTTTAATTTTGGTTCTGACAAACAGCAGAACTGAAAAAATGGTGCAGCTAAGACTTGGGTTGCATTTCCACGCATGAGGTTTATTTATACTCGGAGATGAAGGGGTTTACGAGAGTGGCAGTGACACTGTGGTGGCAGTGTTAGTGGCAGTGCAGGCTTCGTATTTCAGTGAGTCTCCTCAGAATTTTAAGGAATTGAAAATAATTGAAAATATTAATACTCTTATCTGTCAAAATTTACTTTGAACCATTCTGACCCCAGCAGTTAAATTATCTTGCGTCTATGTAAAGGTTTAACTCTTAAAAGAAATTAGAACTGTCAATTGTAATAGTCATTGGAAAAGGGAACTAGAAGTTTCTAGCTCCGGTTTTTAGGTTGTTGGGGTGGGGGTTTTTTGTTGTTGTGGTTTTTTTTTGTTTTTTTTTTTTTTGGTGTGTGTGTTTTTTTTTTTTTTTTTTTTTTTGGTGTGTGGGTTTTTTTTTTGTTTTTGTTTTTTTTTTGTTTTTGGTTTTTTTTTTTTTTTTGTTTTGCTTTTTGTTTTTTCTTAATGAAAAGAGAAACAAACTGTTATTTCCAGATGGGTATATTCTAGTGCAGAAATGGTTGATATTTTAAGTATTTTCAACTTCACTGAAGTCAAGAGATTTGAATAAAACTAAGATTTACCTTTACAAAGTACATGAAGCAATAAAATACAATGCAGATTATAGAATTATAGCACTGGCAAATCTATTAGATAATGTTTTTAAGCTTCCAGTTTTTGTAATTCTAATTTTTAGAGCCAGCTGTCTGAAAAAATGGCACAAACTTCCTTTAGAGGACCTATGGTACTTCTAAATTATTCTTCTCTTAATGAATTTTTGGCTTTTGGTGTAATAATTTGTAATGTTGTTTGTTGTTCATCTCCTTAGTCATTTTCCTTTATCCCTCTGTCTTCTATATATAAAAGCTGATGGAATTTACTGGTTTTGTTTTACGTTTTAGAACACTCTCCAAGATGACTTGGAGAGTGTTCTAAAATATATTGCATTATGCTAGTTACAGGCAAGCATGCAAAGTTTTGGATATCTCTCAGATACGCTTTTATAAAATACTCATTTTTCAAATGTAATCATTTTCCAAAATAGATGTTTCTTTTGTGTAATTGGTACTAATATCAGGCAGTTTCTTTATGGCCTCATTTCTGGGGAATTACCAATACCATTTGAATTCTGGAAGTAATATTCTAGTATCCTCCCTTTTCCGTATGAAAAAATAGTAAAGGCAAACAAACACTCTGGGTTTTGTATGTACAAATCAATCTAAATACTACAAGTGTTTAAACATTACTTACTCTGAAAAATGTGTAAATTAAATTCTTTCATCCCTTTTCCAAAAGAGTGTATTGCTGCATTATTCACCAGCAATACCATTCAAAGTTACTATATTATCTAATAAACAGCTTTTCATTTCCTGTCCTCACAAGCCATAATTATTTTGTTTTGTTACAAGTGTGTCCTAGTTCTGCTGGGTGTGAGGGAGGTGGACTGTGTTGACCACATGAGTAATTTGTTTCTGCCAGGCTGGAGCTTCTGAAGAAACTGGTGGTGTTCACCTAGTTTGGATTTTGATGCAAAAATCCTGTATTGTATTTTGCAGCGTTTTGTATTTCTTGGTTGCTGTTTGCTGTGTTGCTTCTTCTGATGTCAATAGCCATTGCCATAGGATTGCTTTCTAGTTTAGATTTTATTTTCAGTTAGACCCTCAGGTAACTCTGGAAGATACCCTGACCACAGGTTTTCCGTTGTTGCAGCATGAAGCTTATGGGCAAGTGCCATAACTTGCTCACAGTAGATTCTCATTTCATGTGCATACGTTTTGTGGTTGAATGGAACTATCTTATAAAAAGAGTATGCATTTTTCTTTTCATGAAAATGTTTTGATTCTTTTCTTAGAGAGAAGATGATGAAGAAATGCAAGCCTTAAAAGAAAAATTGAAGTACTGGCAAAGGCTGCGCCATGATCTTGAAAGAGCACGTTTATTGATAGAACTTATACGTAAGCGTGAAAAATTAAAAAGAGAACAGGTAAATGCAGCACCTTTTAATTTGGTGAAGCTTTTCTGAAGGAAAGATAATTCAAGTATTCTTACAGTTTTTTCAGTAGAAGGACAGCTGTATTTTAATCCTTTTAGGGTCAAGTAACATGTACATGCTGTGCACTCAAACTATTTAAAATATATAAAATTTTCATAGAATGGCTTGGGTTGAAAGGAGCATGAAGGATTGTATAGTCCCAGCCTCTTTTCAATAAACAGGAACATCTTCAACTAGATCAGGTTGTTCAAAGCCCCATCCAACCTAACCTTTAATTTTAACAGGAATAAGGCATCTGCCATCTCTCTGGGCAACCAGTTGTTCCAGTGCTTCACCCTCATTGTAAAAAATTTCTTATATGTAGTCTGAATCTACCCTCTTTTAGTTTAAAACTGTTACCCCTTGTCCTGTCACTACAGGCCCTACTAATAAGTTTGTCCCCATCTTACTTATAAACCTCCTTTAAGTACTGAGAGGCTGCAGTAAAGTCTCATTTGGGCCCTCTCTTCTCCAGGATGAGCAGCCCCATTTCTCTCATCCTTTCTTCAGAAGAGAGCTCCAGTCTGATCATATTAGTGGCCCTCCTCTGGACTCACTCCAACAGCTTTATGCCTTATGATGGGGACTGCAGAGCTGGATGCAGCAGTCCAGGTGGGGCCAAATGAGGGCAGAGCAGAGGAACAGAATCACCTCCCTTGACCTGCTGGCCACACTCTTTCGATACAGCCCTGGATGCAGTTGACTTTCTGGGCTGCAAGCATACTCTACCGGCTCATGCTGAGGTTTTCATCCGCCAGTACTCTGAAGTTCTTGACGGAGCTATTAATCCCTCAGCTGGTACTGATACCTGGGGTTGCCACAACCCCAGGAGGACCTGAAATTTGACCTTTTTGAACCCCATGAGATTCCCATGGGGCCCACATCTTGAGTTTGTCCGGGTCTGGGTGGGATCCTGTCCTTCAGGTGTGTCAACTGCACAATTCATCTTGGTGTCACCTGCAGATTTGTTGAGGGTGTACTTGATCCTTTGGTCTCACGTTGTTGATGAAAATTCTAACTGTACTACTGGTCCCAGTACAGATCCCTGAAGGACTCATTACCGATCTCCATCCAGAGTCCAAGCCATTCATCACTGCTCTCAGGATGCAGCTATCCAGCCAATTCCTCGCCTGTGGAGCAGTCCAGCCATTGAATCCGTCTCTCTTCAGTTTAGAGAGAAGGATGTTGTTGAGGACCATGTCAGAGGCATTAGAGAAGTCCAGATAGATGACATCTTCCCTTGTCTGCTTAAAAGAGTTACTCCATCATAGAAGGCCACTAGGTTGGTTAGACTACTAGGCAGGACTTGCCCTTTGTAAGGCTGTGCTGGCTGTCCTGAATCATCTCCTTTTGCCTTCCATGGAAGCTTTGCCTTGTGAAGTTATCCATAATGCACTCCAGGATAACTCCAGTTATCCATAATACTCCAGGAGTATCCTACAGCCCATTGTGCTACTTTTCCAGATGTCAGAGTGGTTGAAATCCCTGTCCGGACAGGAGCCTGCGAAAGCAGTGCCTGTCTGTAGCTGGAGCAAGAAGGCTTTGTCAATAGGCTCCCCTAGATCTGAAATAAATACCAACAACAAGGTTCCTTCTTTCACCTTGGTGCCTAAGCTTTCAACCTGCTCATGGCTTTTTTTTGAGACAACTCCTCACAGTATGTTCATTTCTCAATGTAGAAGGCAACCCCGCTGCCCCTTGCTATGCTCTTGGCTCTTAGACTCTTAGACACTCTCTTAGACTTATAAAAATTATTGGTTTCTGAAGAACTGTAGAAGATTTGATCTTTTCAGGTTTTCTCAATACATGCCCCATATACTTAGTAGCACTTTTATCCTTCTGTCAGGAAAAAAAAAAAAACAGAAATAAAAGCTGCATCTAAAGTCCTACAGCATTCAGCAGTTAACATTGCCAAGAGGAGAGATTTGAGGAAGTGATAATGCAGAAAGATAAAATCTTACATGAAAACTGAACGTAAAATGTTTGCACTTAGTTTTTAATGGTCCTTATTTATAAAAACACCATTTCATTTTTATTATTGCAAACTGTGAACATTCATTGCCAGCTAATATTTGTCCTTCTGGAGTGCTTTCTGGACTTCTACGCATCATTCACGTGTATTCGCGTATCACTTGCTTTACAAATGTATTTATATGCATGTACTTTATGTATGTGTGTTTGCTTATACTTTGTTTACATGTATATTTTATATATGCACACACATCTTTAATCTTTCATTAAGAATTTACTTTAGTCATAGCAAGACTGTTTCATTGTTGACGTACCTTAAAATGGCTTGAAAATTAAGCTACAGAGGAATTGAAATAGTGTCAAAAATAAAAAAATTTCTGAAGGATATTGAAGTATTTGAAGGTGTTGATTCTGTTTTTTGAAATAATTTTTTTGGAATTTATGTAGAACATTGTCTTTCCAATTACTCTTTGTTTTGGTCTTACATTACCTGTAAATCAGATTCTCTTTAAACTTCAAACATAGCAATACAACTGAAATTTAATTTGAAACATTACCTTTAAACTCTTACTATTTTCACATGGTTGGTGAATTGTGAAACTGTTGTTATGTAGCATCTTTTGAAAAAATACATTTAAAAGTGGAACAAAATTCTTACATATAAAATACAAATTTGAGTTCTGGGAAACTGGAGTTGAAGGAATGAGGATGATTTTTTTTCTTATGGAATCATTAGCTGAAAACCTATGTCAGATAAATGCCAACTGATGGTATTGAAAGTAGTACTGAACTGATTTACTTAAATGTATTTATATTTTATATGTTATCTAAAATGCTATACTACTGCTGCTAAAAAACTTTGGTACAGTATTTTAATAGAAAATGCTCAGTTGGATAACTGTTACTTCTTTAGGTCAAGCTTGAGCAGGTTACTATGGAACTTCAGCTTATTCCATTCACTGTACTTCTGCGGTCGGTTCTGGATCAGCTGCAGGAAAAGGATTCTGCTCGTATATTTGCTCAGCCAGTGAACCTTAAAGAGGTACGTTTGCAGCTGTGTTTCCTGATGTTTACATGTGGCTTGGTGGCACTTAAGTACAGGAAACAAGTCATTACATGCAGAGTTAGAAACAGTGTTAGGTTTTAATTTTTATTCTGATGATTAACATTATGAGTGATGGTCTACTGCTATGAGAGTATTTTTATGCTTATATACCAAAATAATTTCTGGGAAATACCCCATTCTTGTATAGAATGTTGGGCTCATACTGTTACTTTTCAGTAAGATGATTTTGGTAAAGCAAATTTGAAGGATATCAAAAATCGCAATGCAGATACTGTGTTCTTACTTGAAGGTGAAACTAGACGGACTTAGAGTATACATGTGTGCATTTGTGCACATACTGCATACACATCTATTTATTATATGTGGAATCATTAAGGTTGAAAAAGGCTGCCAAGATCATCAAGTCCAGTCTTTGCCCTAATACCAGTATGCCAACTAAACCATATTGCAAAGTGCCACACTTCCATGGACAGCCACTGCACCACCTCCCTGAGGAGCCTGTTCAATTCTTAACCACCCTTTCAGTGTAGAAATCTCCCCTAATATCCAAGCTGAACTGCCCCTTGCACAATTTGAGGCCATTTTCCCATGTTCTGTCACTGGTTACCTGAAAGTAGGAGTACATAAAACCACAGAAAAAGTAGTTTCCCAAGAAAAAGTAGTTTCAGCATCTCCTAGTAGAGCTCAAACTTGTTACCCGAGATGCAGAATATTGTAATATGTAAACTTCTGTTGGCATGCAAATGTTTGCAGTATCTAGATGTGTTACATTTTTAATTTCTTCTATTGAGGTGTTACAAGATAAATTTAAAAAGTGGATCAGTTACTAACTAACGTTACTTTGTAATTAGACAGTTTTACCCATTTGTGTTTTAAATATTTATTCAAAGGTTCCAGACTATTTGGATCATATTAAACATCCTATGGATTTCTCTACCATGCGGAAACGGTTAGAAGCTCAAGGCTATAAAAACCTCACTGAGTTTGAAGAAGACTTCAATCTGATCATAGATAACTGTATGAAATACAATGCGAAAGATACGATATTTTATAGAGCTGCAGTGCGGTTAAGAGATCAAGGAGGTGTGGTTCTCAGGCAAGCCAGGCGAGATGCTGAAGGAATTGGTTATAACAATGAAACTGGAATGCACTTACCAGAACGGCCTAAACTTGAGTCACCCCAGCCTTTCTCTTGGGAAGATGGTAAGATGTTTTTCAGTTGTTTTGGAAAGTTGCATTTTTCATTGCATGCAGTGTGTATATTCCACACAGATGTTTAGGGTTGTTGCTGTCCAGTTTGCTAACTAGATTCTCCAATGCTCATTAAAAACATTGCTTGAAAGAGTCTGGTGTTTCTATTCTACCAGATCTGTCATAAGACATCAGTGCTATCTGGAGTCTGATTTTGGCAGTGTCAGAGCCTGATTTAACAACTTATGCAGAAAAGGTTTTTAAGTTTCTTTCTTTCTCATGATTGTATATGCTTGTAAGGCATGGAAAATGAATACCAGTGTTCATAAACTTCAGCACATTCCTGAGTAACCAATTCGAAAAATTGAGCACATTTGTAATACTAGGAATTAAGTAGGGTTTTTTTTTTTTTACATATACATGAGTTTTCTGAGGTTTGGCAGTGGAGGATAATTAACACATTTCTTTTATAACCACAATTTTATCCTTTTCTTTAACAAGAAGGAATTAATCTGTTAAAGTGGAAGGATTAATTATGTCTTCCTTCTGACCTTTTATTTCTTTGCTCTGCTACTTAGTTTTTTTGATCAAAATTCTGATTAAGGAAAATGGTAACTATATAGTAGGAATTAATTTCAATATTTCTGACCATAATCTAAATAGAATTTTGACAGTATTTTTTAATTTTGGCTTGCAAATTCAGTTTTTTCCTTTTGTTGTGTTACTGTTCTGAGAATATTCTGGGAAATGCTAACACATTTTCAATTGTACGTGTTTTGACTTTAGTGGATAGGTTACTGAATCCTGCAAACAGAGCACACATGTCCTTGGAAGAACAGCTGAGAGAGCTGCTAGAAAAACTAGATCTCACCTGTGCAATGAAATCCAGTGGGTCAAGGAGCAAAAGAGCAAAGCTGTTAAAGAAAGAAATCAGCATTATTCGCAACAAACTCAGTCAGCAACACAACCAAGCTCCTCAAATAGAGTCAGGTATTGGAAGTTTCGAGGAAGAAAGTGCAGCATTAGAACAAGATGGAGAAGAAGAAGGTAAGATTGTAAACCAGGTTTAAATGAGTACTGTTCTGAATCACTTCAGTCAGGTGCTGTGATGTGAGTACTAGTGTGAATTAAAGAATCTGATTAATATTAAATCTTAAAATTAAACTAATAGTTCTAAAATATGAAAATAGCTGCCTAATCACAACAAATATTTTAAGAGTAAAATGATCTTCTTAAAAAAAACTACTTCCATTACTTTTCATGGTAGCAAGGGGTTAAAATGTAGGGGTTAAAAAAGGAAAGTGCAAACAATCTCATATGAAAAGCAGCTGGAAATGCTTGAGTGGAAAATATCTTTTCACTTTTGCAAATACACTTAAATATCAAAATATGTGTTAGGGATCATGTGAGCCTAGGTCAATGGTAATGAAGACTGGCTGTTGTACTGTGTTTGTAGCCTTTTTTATTCACTGCTGCAGACTCTAAGCAGGAGGGTGGGTAGGCTTTGGGGTTATTTGTTTATTCATTTATTTTAAATAAAGCTAACTACTGATAAGACTTAACCAATTTCATGTTGTAGAATCAAGTCAGCCACATCTGCCTAGCTCTTCCCCTTTTGCTTCTCTTCCTCCTCAAAACATTTGTCTCAGAACTGTCTACTCTTGGCTAATTGCCATTGATTTCAAGGAGAGCAGTGTGCTGGAAGGACTAACTTAATATTTTAATTAAATATAACATTTGCATTTTTACCATTTAAGTTGAGTTTCTGAGGTTTTTATTGCTCATTTTTAAATTATGTAAAGAAAATCTGTCACTCAAATAAGAATTCTATTGGCTTTGTTTCATGATTAGCTCTAAGGAACTAAACTCTTTCTTTAGGAGAGTTAGAGATGTGTTTCGTTTCTGAAAAAGTGCCTTGAATAGGAGGAGGAAAGAGCTCAAGGGAAAGTGGAAGCATGATAATAAATAAAATAGTCTCTATTTGTTGTGTCTTGGTGCTATCAAAATTTTTGAAAGGTGAAGTCAATTAAATGATTGTCCTTAACTGCCATTCAAACAGCAACTTGGTGTTTAGTTCCAAGCAGAACTTGGTGGAGATTTGTGCCTTGGTAGAGAAAGAGTACATGAACCAGCACATTATCTTGTTCTGAGGCTTTTAAGTGTTCTTAAAATGGTTAATGGTTTAGGTTTTTTAAATTTGGGTAATTTTTTAATCTTCAAGTGATGGTGGTGTTAAATACAGTTCTTTAGACATGTGGGGTTTGGCACCTAATGAATCCACAACCTTTTTTTTTATTTGTAGCTTAACATTTTGATGCCACAGCCTTTTACTTCAGCATTTTTTTTTGTGAAAAAAGTAGTCCAAAGTGAACAGTAGTGGTTTTCTTATATTTACAGTAGGCTTTTAAAATAAAACATGATGAAAGGCAAGATCCAGGTTTGATTGGTATGGTTGTTATGGTTTTGGTTTAGAGGAGAGTAATAATAATTAGTTCAAATTTCAGTTCTTAAATGGAAGGTACATAGAGGAGTAAAGAGAACAAATTACCCAAAGAAAAGATAAGAAAAATCCTGTGCCCATGATCTCTACAGGAGCTGACTTTGCTAGAACTCTGAATTACCCACTTGCAATTCTGTTTCCAGCCTTCAATCATGTGAAAAATACAGTACCAGAATAACCCCATGAAATTTAGGTTTTATTTCTAAATAATTCTCAAGTGGTTTTATGTTATTTAGTCTTTCTGCAAATATTTTCTAATTAGTTGTAAGAAAATCAGAATTTGTTCACAAAGGAAGTCATTGTGGAGATTTTAAAGTACAGGATTTTTTAATAGCTGATAGTTTAAATGTGTTTCTCTGACTTTACATTTCATTCTACAGTCTTCCTGAAATATTAATTGCCAGTTCTAATACCTGTGTGCCTGCAAGTGATGTAAGCACAGTCACAATGTAGTTTAAAAACATATTTTTAATATGAACTATGCTTTTGTTTCATTAAACCTTAAGCAACAGGGTAAAGATGTTTTTTTTTTTTTTGCACTTAGAAATCATTGATTGCCAAGTAAATATTGTTGAGCCAAAACCAAACAAAATAAACTGCAAATAGAGAACTTAAACACTTTGGTGTTTTACACCCTTCTTTAGGTGGCATAGAAAATTTAACTAAGTTTAAGTATTTTATGTGATAGCATAAATAGTACATTAGTGTTATACAGTTACTCTAGAGTAATTATTTCCTTTCTTGTATTTTGAAAGATTCTTTTGGAAGCTAGAAAGATTTTAACATATTTTTGAAATGATAATTATGGGTTAGGACATCCTTCTACTTGTATTAGGGAATGCTGCAATAGTAGAATGTTTATTTTGTTTCCCATTACTTGTGATGAAAAAATGAAACTAGTTTTGTACACTTACTGTCATATTTATTGTCTTTTCCCAGCATGGATTTAGTGGAATTGAGTGGGACATGATCATACTTGAAAATACTAAAATGTGGGGGAGAAGGGGAGAAAAATGCTAGCGGGTGGTTTTTCTGATTTCTCATATCAAATCTGCATTATCAAGTGTGTTATTTTTCAACTAGTGGCTAATCAAGCTGCAAGATTTTGGGGGTATTTGGTTTATCTTCTGCATTTTTATTACTTTTTCATAGATAAAACTTCTGGTCACAACTGTAAAAAGGTTTTACAAATCATGCCCTTGTGTAGATTTTGTAACACATTTTAGCTCACTCAAGTAGAACAGGTTACAAGTTCCTTTTTTTTTAATTGGTTAGCTGATACAATTTTTCATAGGCAGGTAAGGTGAATATTGATAAGTTGAAATAGATAAAAATGTATGTTACAAAAAATTTTACTTGAATGGCAGTATAATTGCATTTAACAGACAATCATCCACCACCCCAAGTTCCTAATGAAAAAATAGATTTTGTAGTTTTTAGTTAATGAAACTAACATAACTGCATGAGAAGAAGCAAGTACTTATCCAGGTATAAATTGTTAACACCAGCTATAGACGTCTTCTTTTTTACCCCTGTTACATTCCCAGTATAAAAGTAGGAACTACTAACTAGGACAGATTGTTGCTAGACAAGGTTTGGTTTTAAAATGTTATGCTTTGTTTCCAGACAACAATTTATTTGGTGGGCTGCACATTTATAGTGAGTTTTATAATAGACTTTATAACTACAGGTTTTCAAAAATCACACTCTATTTATAATTTTTTCAGGAGATAAATCTCCCCCTAAACTTGAACCATCAGATGCATTACCTCTTCCTTCAAACTTGGAGACTAATTCAGAACCACCAACCCTCAAACCAGTAGAACTCAATCCAGAGCAGAGTAAGCTTTACAAAAGAGTAAAATTTGATAATGAATTATATAGCACTTCCATTCAGAAAGAAATAAATGGACACACTCCAGAACACTTACTTGACAGTAATCTCAATGAGTCGACTGTTTCTGCTGTAGCTGAGTCATCAACTGATGTAAACAGACGTACATCCATTCTCTTCTGCAAATCGAAAAGTATAAGCCCCCAAAAGTCTGCAAAGAACACTGAAACCCAGCCAACTTCTCCACAGCTAGGGACCAAAACCTTTTTGTCTGTAGTCCTTCCAAGGTTGGAGACACTTCTGCACCCAAGGAAAAGATCAAGGAGTGCATGTGGAGATTCTGAGGTTGATGATGAGTCCCCTGTAAAGCGCTTGGATACAGGTAAATGTTTACAAAACTTATTTGAATGGATTCTTCTGGAAAGTTAACATACCTGTTAGTTTTTACGTACATGTGATTGATTGTAGCACTTGAAACAGGTTGTCCTCATAGCTGAGTAGTTACAGTTCATAAAATTGTTATTCATATTTGTGTTGGCCCTTGACAATCAGACTTACTGAATGAAGTTTGAGTTCTTTAGTTTCACAATGCAGTTTTTGAGATTACACATATGGGTGTATATGAAACCTGCAGAAAAGATTAATCGGCTGCTTTTGCAAATTCCCTGTTAAATTACATGGAAACTTGACATGTGATGCAAAAACTAAAAGGCTTGTAAGCAGGAGCATGAAAAATACTTGTGCCATGTATGATTTCATTTTGCTGAGTGCCTACTCCAAGCATATTTTTATTTTTATGAAACTGATGACTGTGTATGAGGCACGTCGTATATCCATGTATTTTATGGAAGTGTTAAAACCCCAACATATAATAACACTTCATGTGGTTTTTTTTAGTCAATGCACTTTCAGTAGAGTTGAAGGTGAGATTATGCTCTTAATGAGACTTCTTTAAAGGATATTTGAAAGAAAATGTTGTCTTGATACATTAGTGCAGAACAGCTCAAGACATTAATTATATCTTCTCTTAACACACCATAGTTCTATTTATTTGAGAAGTTCATCTAAAACCTTTGAGGAAGAAAAGCAGCATCAGGAAATTACTTATGGATCTTTCTTAAATGTCATCCATGACTATTGCTGTGACTTTTATATTACCTTTGAAATAAATACTCTGTTTCATTGTCATGTTGGGAACCCTTTGCAGGTATGAAAACTGCATGTGGAGGTTTGTCTCTTTGAATGAAAGAGATAGGAGTTTCATTTGAACATTAGGTGTGAACATTAGGTGCTCCAAAAGCTTGGGGGCGTTTATTTGGGGGAAAAGGGAAGTGTTGTTGATTTTTAGGTTGTTTCTGTTTTGTTTGGTGGGAATTTTTTTGCTTTGAATAACAGGATTTTTAGGGATGTGGGGCAGTGCGCTTTTTTAAATTGGTTGGTTGGTTGGGGTTTTTGTGAATGATCAGTTGAGGACTAATGATTGTAATGCTGGAATCATTCTATGAGAAAATGTTATGTAAGATGGAGTGAGGAGAATTGTTTTTCATGTATGTTTTTGGGGTTTTGTTTGGTTTGCCTGTTTGGAAAGCCCTAGCTTCCATTCATTTTTCTAACAGCTTGGAAAGAGCACACAGATTTGATCTGGTGCTTTAGTTCTGAAGTAAGGACAAGAGAAGGCAGTGTGATAATAGAAATTAGTTAATATTTATTAATAATATAAAAAGCTTTGGTTTTCAAATATCCTAATTTGCCAGTTTATAACCTAGATAGTTTCATTATGTACCTGTACATAGATTGCATTTTATCACACACAGTGAATCATTTTGTGCTGGATGACACTGGGAATTAATACTAATTCCTTGAAATTTTTGTATTAAACATTGTGAATTTTTTTCTTTAGGAGAAGAAAAGGTTTTTATTTTGTAAGAAAACTAACTTAATTCTTAAAGGGGAAAAAAAAAGGCAGCAATGAAACGAAAACCCACCAGATTTCTGAATATATTTAAATTCAGCCATTTTTCTTTCTCTCTGTGGAGTTAGGTGTATGTAGAGCAAATAAGCTTTTGATTATTTGCTCTACATACACCTAACTTTGTTTAAAAGTAACAACCTAGTTACAGGAATAAAATCCTGTTAAAAGGTTTTTCTATTGTTAATATAAAACAATTACGTAGTCTTTTTCTGAAGCTGGTAAAGCTATAAAGAGAATTAACTTTACATAGAACTAATACTTAGGGGTCATTTATAGTTAGAATTTGTACTTGTTCAAGAAGAGTGAATTGAAACAGTTTGGCCAATTAATATTAATCTGAAAATATTCTAGTTATTCTTTAATAGTATGTTGTGTTTTAAGCATATATGGTTCATACAGATGTGGCAGTTTATCAGATCTTATTCCTTTGATTCGTTTGCCTGTTTTCAAGCAAATATTTTGCTTTCACATAGGAAATTTTATTCTTCATGTTATTTTGAAGTTTGTGTTTCCACACTAATTTAAATAATTTGCACTTGGCAGCTATCTTGAGCTGCAGTTCAGCAGGAAACCAGCACAAATGTCAGATACTTACCAAGACACAAAAACAGTTGAGATTTTCTGCGTATGCAGCTGGTATTGATTCATGTAGACGATTGTGTTATGATAGAAATGCATTAGGTGATGTATACAGCAATACATTCTTTCTCTTTGGTTATTTTTTACAAAATTTCATCTCGTGCTGTAGGTAAAAATGTTTTTATTCAGTAGAATCCAGCAGAGGTTTTTCTTCCAGAGCCATCCAGTCATAGGAAAAGGCATGCAACAGGCTTCTTGTGTGCATTGACATGAGTTATCAGCTTTGTGGGAAATCCCTGTAGTTGAAAATGAATTATTGTTGCACAGTTTTCTTTGAATGGTGTAAATATGAACTGTCCGTAATAATAGTGAATAGGGAAAAAATCTCTGAAAAAGAACCGCTTAATATGGCAAGGATTGAAATTTTCAAGAGGTCGAGAGCTGCACTGTCAGATATTTTTTCTTTCTTACCTATTCATAGCCAGTATGAGGGTTTCTGACATAATTTAAGGATGTCTTGTTTCTGTCCCTTAGTCTTCAGTCTCTTCAGTGTTTCTCTCTTTCTTGTCACTGCTGTATTCTTACATGACAAAGTTCAAACTCTAAAGTTTATTTAATTGAGTGAAACCACACCTACCTGGTTGTTTCAATATTCTTATAGACTGCTTTTATTGTGCTCTCTTGAGTTACATTTGAGGTTAATGTTTTTCCAGTTATTTTCAAGAAAGGGACATACAGAATCTGCTGACACACTCTTTGTGTGGTGTCCCACATGCTATTGGTTTTCATACATAAGATTACTGAAATGCCAGTTCTTTCAGAAATAGGGGACTACTGAATAACATGAGTTAGCCTTCAAAGAGTTCATTTCAATACTGTGAGCTTTCATATGTGAATCCTTGAAATATATGAAGCAGGAGTGTAGTGTAATCTTAAATTTAAATTTTCTAGTGTTCTACTGGGGCATTACCACAGAGTACATCTGTCTATAGTTGCTGTGTAGAAACTGACAGCTGCATAGTGGAGACGTGTTTAAAAATTTCCTATACATATTTGATGTATTTTGGGTTTGCTTCACATTGTATCTAGCAACAATTACCAAAAGCAGATTGTTGGTTTACCTAGGAAATTTTGGTGACAGCAGAGATTGGTGTATGATTCTTGAAGGTTGGGCATGTCAGGTCTTAACTGTGATAATTTTAATGACCTTTTCAAATACACATTGTATACTTACCTTGCTCTTTTGTTACAAAGATGAATCCTTCTTGTCAGGGAAATATTTTGTGCAGTTATTACATTAGAGAAAAATGAAACTGATTAATGGATAAAAGGTAGATTTTACTGACCATTAAAAATCTGCCTGTATCAGTTGTATTAGTAAGATAGCAGATGGAACAAATTATTGTTTCAAGAAACCTTTTTTAACATTGTAAAATGCTAGATTATGATCAGATGGAATTTGCCTATGTACTTGGTGTTATTAGTCATCTCTAAGGTTTGTAAATTTAGGTTTTATAATTCATAGTTGCTGTTACAGTGCTCTCTATTTTAATTAGAAACTTAGTATTTAAAGTACACCATCCTAAAACAACCACTGTAATTTACCATAGAATCAGGATTTTAGATAGTGATTATTATAGTGCAGAATGTTGTGTTTCTATTATTTTTTGTTCAAGTGCAGTAGTAGAAAATTTCAGTGAAGTGTATAATTTACTTCATATTTTCACTGCCAGCTACACAGATTTTCTCAAGGTACTGAAACACATGTAAACAGGTATTTAGAATACGTATCACTGAAGTAGAATATTCACACAGTAAAAAGCACAGAGTGAGGGAATTCATAATTTCTTAATGCATACTTCACATATAGTTATCAGTATACAACAAAAATTCCTTATTAAACCTGTTAGTAAATGTTGGGCTGACTTTGTTTCTGTTCAACTACTACAAAGTGATGGCAAGTAACCTGTATATGAATTCCATTTGCATTTGATGGACTTTAATATTGTGATGAGGACTTAAAACTTAATTTGATATGATAAGAGTAGACATTGTGTCTGGAGTGAAATGGAACACAGTTCATTTTTTTATTTCTTGAGTACTTGATTTCTAATGAATCTTTGCCTCTCTGGAACACAGGCCAATTTGGCTAAAAGTTAGGCTTCATATGCACAGCATTCATTACCATTCACTAAATGGAGGAAGTGAAAGTAAAACATGCATATCTAAGAAACTTATGTCTTCGAAGTAAATAAAAAAACTAAAATAAAGGTTCCTCAGTGAAGAAAGGCCCCAAATTGGTATAATTTCTCTTGTGGTTAGCATAGACAGGAATGACAGTATATGTGTGTGTGTGTGTGTCTATATATGTATATATATATATATATATTGTGTGTGTGTGTCTATATATATATATATATATATATATATATATATATATATATGTATATATATATATATATAAAAATTAATATTCATTAATCAAGTGCAACAAATTCACTAAATCTAATTACAGATCCACAGTCCTGATTTATTGTATTGAAATACATATTGATTGTTTCATGTGAAGTCTGATTTGAAATTTAATTATTTGAGCACTTAGTGGTGTCCAAGAACTTTAGCTACCTGACTCCAGGAGGTTTGGAAACATAAAACATTTTAAGGTGTATTTGCAAACAAACAAAGTATTAGAGATTGTGAGAAGATTATGAAGGCCTAAAAGGAGTTATTCCCTGGATTGTTAAATTTGTCAGTGTGGAGACATGGGGAGTACAGGAGTCTGACTGTTCAGTTGTCAGGATATGTTTGGTTAATTGGTCTTCTAGTAGGTT